AAGAAGAATAATTAGCACAGTGTGAGGGATTTTTTCATTCTTACAATTTGGAAGAAACCAGAAGGAAAAAACAGTCAATATAGCAGGAAAATTGTGTTGATTTTTCTGCGCTGCTTTGACAGATTTTTTTTTTAAATTGATTTTTTTTAATACATCATGTAAAATAGTTCTGCTGCTTAAATGCAGTTTTCTTCTGGTTTTGGGGGGAAAAAAGATAGGAATTATCCTCTCTTTAATTTTACTAGTTGTTCCTTGGGTTTTTTTAATGACATGGGCAGGACAGAAAGCTCCTGATCTATGTCTTTGATAACATTTACCATCCAGTATCCTCTTACAATGCTCTGTTCTTTAGCCTTTTTCATCCTTTGTGGAACCATTAACCATTTCTTTTCTCTTCCGTTTTTTCAACAAGAGTGTTTTGGGGTTTTTTCCAGACTTCTATCTTGTTTGGTTTTTGTGTGTTTATTTTGTACCTCTGTGGAATCTTAATGATCAGTACAGCTCACAGGATCAACAGTGGTTGAGTATTAGAAGTGCTTGTGTCATCCCAGGGCAGGGCATGGGAGGGAGAGGGTGCTGCTTTCTATTGAAGTGCTTGCAGATATAAGGCATACACATTCTCCTAAATATAAGCTACTGTCATTTAAGTGGCCAGCAGTGAAGAGCTCATTGTGTGTCTGAACTTTTGACTGTAATAAAGTACACGATAGATTAATCACAGATAATTTAAAGACCCTGTTTAAGAAGACAATAGTACTTTCCTAAGAATGAAAGCATGGGATTCTAGGACAAACCATGTGTGACTGTACTTCGTATGCAATATCCCAAGAGAAATCATCTAGATGCCTAAAATGAATTGCCCTATAGTGTACTCTTCTATCAGGCCTTTATCAGTTACTCAGGAAAGTGAGAGGTTTCTAGACTCTGTCCCAAAAGAATATCAAAAAACAGCAGGGAGCAGCTAACTAATCCCCTGTTGTTATTGGTAAACTCCTATTAGAACATTATCCAGAATTGTATTCCTGGAGCCCAGCTGGTGCTGTACACAGTGCCCAGGGCAAATCGTAAAGAGATCAAACTGCATTTAACCTTGTTAAAGCAATCCATCGAACTCTCTGTGCTCTGCCGAAAAGGATCATCACTCCAGAATGCATCAATGTGGTCCAAATTGCTGTCCTACACAAGATGAGCTGGTTGTGTTCAGCTTGTTCTAGTGCTAAATGGAGTGCTTAATTTTGGCTCTGATGCATACGTTGTCCTCAGTGATGTGTGGCATAGGGAGTAATGTAAACTTCCTATGGAAGCTGTAAACATGACAAAACATGCTTCTGATCAGGAGGTGTTTGGGGGAAGGGGGGACGGCACTGTGGTGTCCAGTCTTGTTTCCAGATCCATGTAGCAGAGATGTCAAGGTATGCTGCTGTAAGTCTGGGCTTGGGGAAAACTGCAGGATGCACTGAAGTACTCGGGGAGGAGACAGTAACTGTCTGCTAGTTGTCTTTTATTCTGCAGTTATTACTGTCCTGCTGTGTTGCTTTGTTCTTCTGTCAGATTCTTTGGTGTATGAAGCAAACATCTCAGACGTGATTGAGTATTCCTCAAGGATGGGAAATCATCTACTCAGAGTTTTGGGTTTAATTTTCTCTTACTGGGATGAAGACTAATAGCTAGCAGTCTTGAGGAAGCAGTTCTCATTATCTGTTCATGTGCCTTCTGCACGCGTTAGTTTAACGAGGTTATGAAAGAGAGTAGACTTGGGTCTTTTCCCTGGCTACATCACTGCTCAACAGTATAAACAGCAAACGATATGCTGCAGGTCTGGGAGTCTAGCATTAGTCTTGATTTGTAGAGCAGTAAAAGAAAATATTTGCTTTCTGTTAGCACGTTATAAAAATGCATGCCAAAATTTTGGTTGTCGGTATCTAGCTGTGTCTGTACAGTACATAGCAAATAACTGAATCAAAGGTGTTTAACTGTCCATGGTTAAGATGAAAAATGTTATTTTCCAAGTTTGGGTTTCTTGTTATAAAGCAGCTACACTAGATTTGAGTGAAGTGTCTTAATAAGCTATTAATCTGTAGTCAAACTTTCAGAACACAAAGTTGCAAGTATACCTAAATGGAATAGGGGACAAGGTTTTCCTGATTAATTATAATTTGTTTTTTTAGGCAACTTTCCTGTGTTTGTTAAAAGCAATATCAAATCACATAATCTCAGGTTTTAACCAAAGCTGAAATTTATTTTTAAAAAGTTTAGAATGTAAATATTTCACTACTGTGGAGTACTGCGTGTACTCTGGATTTGAAAGAAATAATTGTCCTCTGGGTTAGTTGTACTTCAGATATTTCAGTTTGCTAATTCCTGCATTTTGGAAAGCAAAAAAAATTATTAAAGTTGGCCCTAGCCGTGTTATCTTTAGTAAAATTGTAGCCCTATATTCCCCTTAATGAAGGTACGTCATAATTCAAATCTTGTTTTTTCCTGCTGATGTATTTTTAGACACTTTCATAGAATTTTTCTTCACAGGCTTGACTGTCACACTTGGCTTCACTGCTGTATATTTTATACAAATTCAGCGCAATTTTCAGCTGTCTTCTGAAAATAGCCCAAATTACAATGGGAAGATCTAAGGGAATGGAATGGAAAATGTGGCTAGACTAGCAAGCTAAATATTTCCTAAAAATTTAGTCACTGACTTGAAATCATGCTAGTTCCAGTTACCATGGTCATTGCTTGGTTTTGAATTGTAACGATTACTTGCTTGCTTCATAGTTTAAACTTAACCTTGAAAAATCTTTTGCCTGTTCTGCAGCCATTTTTGGCATATCTTCAATGTGCATTTTTCTTCCTCTCACTTGTGTTAAGCTAAATATTTCCTAAAAATTTAGTCACTGACTTGAAATCATGCTAGTTCCAGTTACCATGGTCATTGCTTGGTTTTGAATTGTAACGATTACTTGCTTGCTTCATAGTTTAAACTTAACCTTGAAAAATCTTTTGCCTGTTCTGCAGCCATTTTTGGCATATCTTCAATGTGCATTTTTCTACCTCTCACTTGTGTGGTTTTTGGGTTTGTTTTTTTTTCTATTGCACTTAACTGAAGAGCTCCAGTATAGACCAATAGATCTAACAATCTCAAAATTGTGTGGCAGTTACTAAGAAAAAAGCTTTTTCTCCTGGTTCCGTTCTTCTGTGTTAATTCCTACTATTTTGTAAAAGTCAGTCTGATCAGAAAGAATAATGGCTGCTTCCCCTTAAATAAGGTATACATAACTTTCAAGCCTTGTCGTTGTTATGAGTAATGTAATTTTTTTGCTAATTTTTACAATCCCTTTATAGTTCTGTTCTGACAGGTACTTGAAGGCATTTCAGTTCTGTGCAGTTCAGGTGCTGATCCATCCTGTTGTCCCCATGTCCAGGTAGAGGACACTTAGCATCGTGTTATGGTAACTTCTCTAAAGTTACTTTAGCAAGAGGGAAAGCGGTTTGTTGCAATACGGAGATATAAGTGGGTGTCTCTGCCTGCCTTTAACCATATCTTTATACAAACATTACATTCTGAAATGTTTTTTCTCTTCTGCCTGTGTCTTGCCCCTTCTTTATATGTGAAAGCTAGGTAGTTTAGGTGAAGATGGGACTTGGACACAGATATGCACTACTCCTTAACTGACACCCCAGCCTTTGGTCCCTCCGAATATAACAGTTTGTACTGCCTGCTTGCTCCCTTGCAGTAGGAGAGATGGGTAGGGTACAGCCCCAACTAGCTAGCCCTTTGCCACTGAATGCGAGACAGCTTTTGTCTCCTCTTCCCACCAGCTCAAAGTTAAACGTTGCTCTTTACATGGTTGCCAGAATAGAGAGAACTTGCCCGGAGGGAGGGATGGAGGAAGATTCGGAAGGAGTGGGAGGAGGACATGAAGGCTGGCTGGAATTTTCCTAAGATTTCTTGGGCTCTTCTCCTTTGGCAAGTAAATACTCCCCATTCGAGGCGTGCAGGCTTACAGTAGCTGTTGGCACAGTGTCAGGAGCTATGCACCATTACACTGAAGCACACTAATTCTGTTGGTTTTGCAAGCACAGTTGAGAGCTGGTCATGCTCTGGCAACCTTGACAATGGCCATTTGCTTTGCTGTCATTTTTTCTTGCAGCATCTAGAGCCTTGAAAAGCATAAGCAGCCAGACCTACTTGCAGACCCAGCAGATTTATCCCAGCCAAAGTATGTATAAGACTATAAGCTCAAATCAAAAGTTCTGGCAGTCTGACTTCCATCCTCTAGCCACGGACTTCAGTGAGCTTGCTGAGGAGCGCATACTCATCAAATTCATTAGTTTCTGGAATCGGCAGTAACTTCCGGAGGGAAAAATGACTGTTTGATGCAACCTCTAAATACGCCCGTGCCTCTGAATGATAGAAAATAAGACAGGAAAGAGTAAGGAGGAGGGAGAAGAAAGTTTACAGGAAGAAGGACAGCTGAGATGTAACTCTCAGTAGTTGTCTCATATAGAGACACCTTGTCTCATAGACAACTCATATAGAGTTGTCTCAGTAGACAACTCTCAGAAGTTGTCTCATATGATGGACATTTTACTTAACCCTCCCTAATATAAATATAAGCAGCTCCCAAGGGATGATGGCAGAAGGAGGAAGCTGTTGCATAGTGGAGACTCCAGCAAGCACAAGATAGTAATAGTTTCTATACTGAAGTGACAATGAACAGAATGGTTCATCTCTCCGTGCTTTGGTCACTGCTAACTAGGATTAAATTTCTCTTCTCCACAAGGATCTTATTCTAAGATTTGAATTAAAGATAATGAGTTTCCCTATGATTCCCAGGTGGAGAATGACAGAAAAATGTTAACTTCCACGGAGCTGACATTGACTCTGCGGTGGACTGGTATCCTACCGTTACTGTCTTTGCATATCCTGAAGACACGCTCTCAGCTCATACTGAGAGGCATCATTTCCGAACATTGTAAGATATCTCACTTTCAGAACTGAAGTCGGGGCAATGTATTGTCTCCTTTAATTACAGTCTGCAAATTAGTTTCAAATGTGGAAGAATACAACAAAAAGAAACGGTGAGCATTTCTGTATTGCTCTTACATTGTACAAAGATGACTCAAAAAGAATCTTATTTTTATTTAAAAAAAAAGTAAATATTTGGTAGAGAAGAGCCATTCAAAAGCCTTCTCTGAAAGGCTCCTGTGTGTTGCTGCCAACCTTTTAAAAGAGGAGTTAAATTTTGGAGTTTCAGTATGTGATTCCAAAATACCCAGATTAATATTTAGTCAGAGTCTAAAACTGTCTGAATTAAAAGTATGGCTGTCCGAGCTAATGCTAATTTTATGTTTACGAACTTCTGTCTACTTGAGGCAAAATGTTTGTTTTACTTTCCTGTAGTGAAGTAGGGAGGATGAGTTGTCTGTCTTAATGGTGTATCTACCTTATGAGTGTCAAATCATTTTAATGCACCTGTTGTACGAAAGACCATGCTGATAAATGTCAAGTTCCATGCATTCTCCAGTCTGACACAGGAATGACTAAGGGTTCTTTGGAAGCATTTCGGTAACTGTTTTTGTTGATTTAACCTTGCTGCATAATGTCTTAATTGTACAAAACAGTTTTATAGGCCTGTTGCGTTTTATAGGGATTATCTGCCTTTGCAGAGTGTGCAGCATCAACGGCCATGTGCTTCCTAGCTTTAATCTGGCACTGAGGACACGCCGGCAGAGATGTTCTAGCACTGGGCAAACCTGTTGCCTGCTGTTATTAGTGCATTTTACTGTATCTCCCCTTCTACTTTTGCACTGTCTTAATTAAAGCTGATTCAGGTATGGCCATTAGTGGTTGCAGTCATGCTGTCTGCTGGGACACAGGTGTACTTTAAAGCTGGAGCCAACTGGTAGATCATGTAAATATGTGGTTTGAGGAACTAGAGGCCAAAACCCAATCTTTCAGCTCCTGATGCTATTGCAGTGGTGTGTGTTTTTAAAATCTTCTAATGTTGGTGATAGCAGGCCCTCTAGAGGGTGATTTGATCATAGAAGCGTGTGCAAGGTCAGGACCAGAAGTCCAGTGCAGTACTCGAGAGAATTAAGAAGCAATTTCATGAAGCTGTTTTCGGCTGACGTGAGCCTGTACTGCAATCAGAAGGGGTGGTTCTGTCTTGCACTCATCTTTGTTCTGGGACTAAAGTTGATCTGGCTGACAGCTGTGCATCTTGCTTACCCAATGGGAAAGAAAAATTGTACCAGATTAACAAGCTAATCTCAGTGACTGTGTGGCCACACGAGTGCTAGTACCAGCACGAAGAAATGACTAAGAACACATGGCTGTGGCTAGCGGGAGGTTAGCATCTCTTGTCACTGGCCACGCAGTCTTAGAACAGTGTAAGCTGCTCATGAGACTGCATCCTTGTAGTATAAATAACAGTTACATCCCCAGAGAATTAGGAAGAGAGATTGCAAATTGAACAGACTTTGCAATGGATATTTTTGAAATGGGAGGCTTCTGTTCTCTAAGTGAGAAGTTAACATAAAGGTCCATGCCTCAGCTTGGACCTTCAGTTAGGGAAATTAACTTCCTGTGGAGATGTCCTCGGAATCAACCTCTTGGCTGGCCATTGATAAATTACTTCAGTATGAGTTATTGACAGAATAGAAGTAAGGTTTGGCTTAAAAATAAAAAGACACGTACCTTTAACTTTCTTTGCTTTAGAAAATGGTTTTGGCATTGCAGGAACAAGTTGAATGTACGTGTGTGTTCCTAAAGAAAATGGGGAGATTACCTGTTGCTCAAGCCTCTATTTTTTTACTTTTCCTTTTGCAGGAAAAGCTGCAAGTCATTTAATGACCAGATAAGTCTCCATTCTCATGATTTATCTGATATGCTTCTCCTGGAGCCATGGATGAATACAACCGCTTTGTGGATTGGGACAAAATGGATGTTACTGTCCAGAGCCAGGATGCGAAGGAGCTAACCTGCACGGAGTTCCAGGAGCTCAAGCAGCTGGCCCGGCAAGGCTACTGGGCCAAGAACCACTCTCTGAGAGCCAAAGTGTACCACAGACTAATTAGCAATATCCCGTGCCGCACAGTGACCCCAGATGCAAATGTGTACCGGGACATTATTGTGAAGATTGTTGGAAAACGTAACAGTAGCTCCCTTCCATTACCAGAGTTTGTGGATAACAGCCTGGTCCCCACATACTGCTTGAATGCGGAAGGCATCGGGGCAGTCAGGAAGATTATATTGTGCATTGCGAATCAGTTCCCAGACATATCATTTTGCCCAGCACTGCCTTCTGTGATAGCTTTGCTCCTCCACTACAGCAGAGATGAGGCAGAGTGCTTTGAACAGGTTTGTCGCATCCTTGCTTGCAATGACCCATCTAAGCGGCTCATTGATCAGACGTTCTTAGCTTTTGAGTCCTCCTGCATGACCTTTGGTGACCTGGTTAACAAGTACTGTCAGGCGGCACATAAGCTGATGGTGGCAGTGTCCGAGGATGTGTTGGAGGTATACTCTGACTGGCAACGGTGGCTCTTTGGAGAACTGCCTATGGTGTACATTGCTCGGGTCTTTGATGTGTTTCTGGTGGAGGGCTACAAAGTTCTCTATCGTGTTGCGCTGGCTCTTCTGAAATTTTTTCACAAAGTCAGAGCTGGGCAGCCCATGGAGTCTGACAGCATACAGCAGGACATTCGAGCTTTTGTGAGAGACATTGCCAAGTCGGTGTCTCCAGAGAGGCTTTTGGAAAAAGCCTTTGCTATCCGCCTCTTCTCGCGGAAGGAGATCCAGCTTCTGCAGATGGCCAATGAGAAGGCTTTGCAGCAGAAGGGCATCACGGTCAAACAGAAAAGGTAGGGCTCTCACTACAGGTAGCCTGAGTGATCTCGTGAGTTTTCCCAGCGTGATGAGCAGTCAGCCAGCCCTGAGTGGCTACTGGTGGGGAAGAAGAGCTCTGCTGGTACATGCTGGTATCTCTGCTGATTTTTTTTCTCTGCAGAAAAAGTCAGCAGCCCCAAAATTAAGTATTGCTGGGATTGTAACAAGAAGCATAACTGAATGTTATGATACAAGAGAAACAAAGCAGTTTCTCATAGCTTACTCAGTGATGAATTTATAATTACTTTTTACAGGTACATATTAATTGCAAGTATTGTATCTCAACAATGTCTTTCACAAGCTGTTTTTGAACTAAAAGGCATTTTAGCAAAGCTGGAAAAAACACTGATAAATTACTTGGAAGAAAGTACCCAAACAAATGTAAAAATTAATTCTTAAATATGAGATTATTTGTATAAAATGTCAATTTCATGCTGCCCAGTACTGTGAATTCAGCAGTTTCTTTAGTGTAAGTAGGCAAACACTGTCCCAGCTGGGAACCTTTTGCTTAACTCGGGAGTTATTTTAACAGAGCAAGGAAGAAATAAGTCTTAATTACAGGTTACTTATAAAATTAGTTTGACTGCAAGCCTCCTGAAAGTCAAGAGTATAGTAATCATAGGTAGGAGTTGACCTATTTTGTGCCAGGTCCATGTACTATTAGAAATAATGATTTTAAAAGAACCATGGAAGAGAAGAGTGAGGATACTGATCCAAATGATGATTGCATAATCACAATTTCTTTTCAGAAATGAGGGGAGGAAAAGCCAGCTGTAAAACTAGTAAGTGAAATCCTGCTCCAATGTGATAGTAAAAGCCACAATAATAAAAAGCTTAGCTGAAAGACCCCTCCATGTATATAGGAAAGACAAAATTAGCATCTTGCCAAGTGCAAATGTATGTGCAGGTAAATACTGGTGGTGTAGACATGTTCTGTTTCTCCTAAGGCCTTCTGTGACTGCAGAAAACTTCTGCCAACCACTTTTGAAATCTAAGTTTAAGTGTTGAACAGTTTTGTCAGCTGTCCTGACGTCTGAAGGGAGGATGACTTCTAGAAGTCTACTGGGGTCAGTAAGTGTGATATCTAGAACTTGGTATTCTAGAGGGACAGTCTTACATTTTCTCAAAATCTTTAAAAAATCAAAAGGTACCAGCCACCAACGTATTGGGATCTTGCAGCCAATTGTGTTGCTGAGTTAGTCACAGTAGTTGCAAACAGGTATCATTCCATGGTATTGAAAAATATACTTAAGCAGATTTCAGCCTATAAAATAAAGTAAATGTTAGCTGAGCATCATTCATGTGCCCAAATACATGTAAAGTTCCCTTCAGTCTTTTCCAACCGTTTATTTTTAGACTCACTTAGAAAATTTGGTTTACAACTAGCTTGTGCTTTATCTTGCTCATATCTTGGAAGAGACCGCTCTGTCAGTCTCAGATATTTCAAGGCCTTCAGCCACTGGAATGTCACGTCAGGTAGAGTTCAGACCATTGTATCTGGAACTCGCAACCAGAAGTATTAGCTCTTCCAGTGTGTAGCTTTTCTTCCTGTACTGAAGTTCAGAAGAGTTGTAATATCCTTTCTGAGTATATTCTTCAGCAACAGAATGAGAGCTTAAAAAAAAAAATAAAAAAACCAACCGCAAAAAACCCAGAAGCTCCTGCTGTGTTAAATGTTGTAGAGGTGTTCTTGCTCAGAACAACAGTGATGCCTTCAAAGCAAAATACAGTAAATTCGTACCCAAACAATGCCAGTAGTTATTGCCTTACTGGGCAGAGTTACTAGTGAAAAACTTTTATCCTCTCTCGGCTACTTTTCTAAACCTGCTGAAACTTCTCAGTGTCCCCTGGCACCACGGTACTGCTGTGAACTTGGCTCAGTGTAGGCAGATGTGGGTGCTGGAGAAGTGAGCTTTTCTCCAGTGCTCGACAGGATGTGAGTGAGTTCTTTTGTCCAGATGTGTATGGCCTGTGCAAGGAGATGATGAATTTTTTTCCAATCGGATAACTACAAGCAGGTAGCAAAAAAGGGGAAAAAAAAACAGAAATAGGAAATATTTTAACCTGTCTGTTTGTTTGTTTTTTCTCATGCTTGGTGATTTGAATCAAACCTTACTTTGTTTCTCTCCAGGCTCCTTTCATTCACTTTGTCGTGGATGTAGGAAATCACTGATCTTTTCTATCTTTTTTTGTCTTTCTCCTTATACATTTTCCTTCTGTCAATTCCATACCCACTGCACCCCTCCTGTTTGCAGTGTTGCACCTCCCAAAAGGTAGGTTAAAACACTTGAATCTTTGCACTTTGCTTGTTTCTTCTGTCTATGGCCGGTTATTTTTTCAGAGGCTGTCATTATTGCTAATGCTGGGGCAGGAGAAGCAGGGCAGCAATTAGAGCATCCGATTGCTGCGTAACATCTCCTGAATACACTCTTGCAAAGTTAGTTCAAAGCACCTGCAAAGTTGTAAGGTAAGGGATCATGGGCCCAGCTAGTCAACGTAGTGCTTCCATACAGCAATACAAGCCTGTGTTTTCCAGAATGGAAAAGTGTAATGTTAATGGTGGGACAGAAGTCCTTTCTACACTGGAAGAAAAAGTGTTGTTTTTTAAAAACATCTCAAGTAACGTGTCTTCAGAACTGTTAGGTACTGTCCCACATCCAAACCTGATATATGCTGTTGCAATACATGTGAGACATACTCAACTTTTTTTTCTTCTTTGCAAGCTTTCCGCAGTTAATTGGAAAGATGTTGGACTGAATCCAACTTGGCACACTCTTAAAAGTGACTTGTCTCTATTCATACTAGATTAAATTTATTTTTAAGTAGATAGGGGGTTTTTAGAGGCAAGAAGACAGACTATTTTCCTGTGTCAAGGAGGTCAGAGTTACTCAGCCATATAGCATTAATGGTTAATGAAGTCATTCATCAAGTCTTTGCCTGAAAAGCAAATCTTAAAGAACAAAACCCAGTGGATTGTGATACCTGATAAGCAGAGAACTTGGAAAGGAGAAAGATTGCCCTGCGAGTATTAAGTACCACAGATGTATGGGTTTAAATTAATGCCTTTGAGGATCTTCTGGCCTTGTTGCAGGTGCCCTGAGTTAACTTTAGTGAGTGATGCAGACTAACATTTGTACTAATTTATAAAACCAAAATTGGAATTAATTTCCTCATGTTTTCATGTTTGAAAGAATACCTCAAGAGACTTGTCAAAGCATGTTTCATATCATATCCTGTGTGTTGAGGATTTTACCTCTAATAAATCAGCAGGCTGTTAATTCCAGCCAAGCAAATCTTCAAAGTCCGTGCATTATTTTACTGTAGTTACAATGTTCTGAAAGCAGCAGAAAGCCTTGATTTCTGCTAGGAAGCACATAATTTGGGTTTGTGGGGACTTAGGTAGATGCGGGGTGTCTGTTGACACTGATCTCAACACAGGATTAGGCTTCAGGCTTATATACCACATATGGCTTATCTTGCCATTTATGACTGAGAAACAACATACCACTTCTACCACGCATTTATGCCCTAACTGAAATTATAAGGGATTTTAAAGATAATGCAGACCCTGTAAGATTTGACCCAAAGCAAAGTAGAGCAGGAAGATGTAATTCAGTGAGTCATACCTTGGAGTGTGGTATTTGTTGTCTTGGAATACATACAGAGCATATATGCTGTGACAGCTGCTACCACATGTCATCAACGTTGGCTTTATCTTCAGGAACTTTGAGGTCTCTGAAGCACATTGTATTAATGATATAGCTGTAAAAACAACAGTCCTATGAAAATAGCAAATAAGCTGCCTTATTAAACATTTAAATTGTGCTAAGTTGTCATGCTGATCCCAATAAGCCAACATGAAGAATTGAGGAATACAGGTTAGATACTTGTAATTCTAGCTGCAATTTTCTGAGCCACACGCCCCACCCCCCCCAAAAAAAAACACCCTTGTATTTTTGTTAAGCAGCACAGAGTTTGGTTTGATGTAGGTGCAGGCTGTGTATCGACACTGGCCTCAACACAGGATCAGGTCTCAGTCTTAAGCACCTGCAGCTGTGATTTATGACTGGGAAAGAGCAGGTCATTTTATTTGAAATCCTTCAGTCAAGCTACGGTCTAGGTTTTACTAAAACTGAATGGTGACATTAAATATACAATGATTCGCCATGATATTCAAGGGGCAGGAACGGCATGCCTGGAATAGTTTTAAATGGCCAACACAATGGTAAATGCTTTCTAGTAAATCAGAAAGATCTGTTTGTAAAGATGATATTCTACCTACATGGAAAAGTTGTAGGAAGACACAGGGTACTGAAAGTGATGTGTTACTATGAATACTGCTGAACATGGGCTTCGAGTGGGGTCTGGGTAGGAAAGTCCTTAAATCAGCAGTTCATAGTAGCCAGGAGAAGGAACAGGGGCAAAAGAAAAGGTACACTGAGGTTGAGAGCCTTTTAGGAACAAGTACTTTAGTTGCCCAAACAGATCACATAAGTGTGAAAAATGTACAGACCAAGCATATAAATAATTATGAGGCTTGCTTGTTTTGAGGTTTAGTAAGTTTAAAACTGTTTTGATATTTGCTACAAAATCTTAGGCTATTTATCATCATTACTTTTCCTCCAGAAATTCACTGTAATAAACTAGTTGACTGCCCTGAATATTTTTTAGTTCCTTGAATGGGAGAAAAATCTAGTTTCTGATGAACTGAAACCAGGGCTTTGTTTCTCAGCTCTGTTCCGTAGTGCCACCAGTCTTTAGCTGCAGACTGGACAGGACCCGGAGGGCTGAGACCTAAAGTAAGATTCTGAATAAGTGGGTTCAAGTCTTGGCTCATACTTCGCTTCAGCTGATCTCTCCTGGGCCTCAGCTTGCTGTGTTTAAAAGCACAAATAATGTCCTAATCAGTGATACTGTAAGTTTTAAAACCCATTAATAGTTGCAGCTTCCTTAAATAGGTGTCCGTATAAGTTCCTTGCTAATTAAATAGTGCAGGGTAGCAATGCAAATAGTGATTTGGTTCGTTTTGCTAGAGGAAGCAGTAATTTTATTATTATTTTTTTAAGTGACCTAAGGAGTCACTTCATTAGAAATGCTGACATTAAGGCAGCTACAGTTAATTTCAGAAAACATTTCCCAATGTCTCCAAGCAAGCACCACTCTAAAGTACAGTGCAAATGCTGCTGATTTCTTAGTACTACAAGCAAGAAAAATAATAAAAAACTTATAGCTTGTGTGTTTCAGGGAGTGAGCTAAGCTATTCGGATACATGCAGATATGCAGTATTGAGGTCCTCTTTATGTTCCATGAAACTAAGAGGAAAGAAATGTGTAATTGTAAAAAAACAACAAAAAAACCCCAAAACAAAACATCAGAAATTGGCAAATACTTGAAGCTGAACCCTTGCATGCAGAGCAAACTGCCTAAAGCTTCATTTAACTAACGGCTACCCAGTAATTTAGTATCTTGTAAGTTCCCATGTCACTTCCACCATGTACTTGTCTGTCACCCTTGCATTTTAAGTCTTTAACATTGGCCACGGATGCAATAACACTTGTTTAATCCCCAGGCTCTGAGTTTGTGTGCTTATTTAGTCTGAGAAATGAAGGCTGGTTAAGATGATGATGATTATTATTATTATTACCTTCAAGTGTTTAAAAGCCATGAATCAATTCTTATAATTGTATCAGACCCCTCTGGAGGGTATGGGGGTTTGCTTTCCGGTGTGAGTGTCTAGCATTCCTTCATGTTTTCAGGCTCCGTCTGTAACCATGAACCTAGGAACTTCTTTGGTTCTTAATGAAGTGGAAGTCATTGGTAATAACATGTTTCCAGGAGGTGGAACTTTCCAAAAGCTTCAAATATTTGCCTTGGATTAAAATTGCTTAGCCTGGTAATACTGATTCCTCTAAGATTTCTGAGGGGTTTAGGAATTCTCTAATTCCATGGTACAGGCAGGACCTCAGAGGGGGAAAAAGTACTACCTCTTCCTTTCAGATCCTGGCTGTTTCTTTAGGTATTCTGTTCTCTATGCTTAAATACTAGTGCCAGTGAGACTGTCTCAAACAGCAAATATAATTTGATCTATTTAAGGTCATGGTCATCTTAGCTGGCTCACCGTTATGTCCTATATATATATAAAGGTGCAGGCCACAGCTGCCATACAGAGGAATTGCTCCAGGTATTTCAGTAAGTCCAGATCACTACCTCTTGAGGATTATGTTAAACTGCAGTAGTTTATTATCTTCACTAAGTCATGGCTTTCTAATCCCATGGCTGGAGCTCTGAACAATAGCATATCTACTAGGGTCTTTTAGTGTTCAGCTGTCTTTGCATGTTACTGTCCAGTAATCTGAAACTTGTTTTGTTGTTAAATTATTGTTTCTCAATGTTTTGTATTGTATTTCTCAGGCAGAATGTGCACTTAGCGGTTCATGCTGAGAACTTCAAGTCTGAAATTGTCAGTGTGAAAGAGATGCGAGATATCTGGTCATGGATTCCAGAGCGATTTGCACTTTGCCAGCCCCTCTTGCTTTTCACCACCTTGGAACATGGCTGTAGTCTGAGCAGGTAAGGAAAACCTTCCCTGCTCTTCTCTACTGTAGGGCAAAAAGAACAACTGGTGAACTGTTCACTGGATTGACAAAAAGGCCATGCCTAGTCAGAACTTGATCTGAAGAATATTATTAGGAATGGGATGTAAATGTGACAAATTCCTATTGGCTACAGCATTTGACCAGGATACTTCATACGCCAGAACATGGCAAGCCATTTTAAACTGTCCAAGACCAACTGGAAAAGTCAAACTTGCATCAGTTCACAGAATATGCTGGTCTGAGACTGGTTCCTTCCTTGCTGGGTATGAATGGTTTAACTCAGTGGCTGCTCTGCAGGCTCTTTTGATAGATAACCACATTCAAACTGATCCAACGAATAAGGGAACTGGAAGCTAGAGATTCCTCTACCTATGAATCTGATTGTTCTTATTTTTAAAGTGGGATAAATTAGCTATGAGTTCTCCTTGCACTTGACACAGAAGACTGTAATCCTATAGCTCCTAATAATGACTTCAACATCTGCACTTGAGGTACTGAGGTGGAGAGTGGTCTGCTGTCTCAGCCCCATGTGCCTATGAGGAAAAGCAAGCAAAGAGAATGCATCATAATTACTTTCTATGAAAACCGAAAGCTCTTCGGACACAGCCATCAGTCCTCAGGACACGACTTCCTTTAGGTTGTCTTAATTCAAAATGCTGTAAAATGCCACTGTTGTGATAGGTAGTCCTCTAGTTATTCTGCAGAGGCATGAACAACTGTACAGAGAACCGAGTAGAGAAGAAATGCTTGGTAATATTTGTTTACACTCAACTCTGTTATTTACAATGGACTATAGAAGGCATTTGCAGGAATATGCTTAGTGTCCAGATGTCTTTTTTGCCATGCCATCAGTTGGAGGAGGAGGTTGTGCCTGATGTTAAGGAGGAAAAGAACTGCAGTTGGTGGCAGTTGAGTGCTCATTTTTGTGTACTCTGCACTTCAGGTTCTATTCTCACAGCGAGGGACACGAACCAACTCTTCTCCTCATCAAGACCACAGCAAAAGAGGTGAGTGAGGTGAAAGGCAACTGATTAAATTAGGTGTGAGGCAGTTACATAATGCTGTATTGCAACACACAACTGTTTATAACAAAATGAGGAAGCAAGGGACCTGAAATTGCCTGGGGCTTTGGTTGGGGTTTTTTAAACAATGCATGCTTTAAGTGGTTCCATTTGTTGATTATGGGACTATGCATTCTTGGGTAGATCTTGTAAACTACGTTTTGGTCAGCTATTCTTTCTCTTGTAAGTAACGTGGGATGATGTACTGGAGTAACTCATTGAGCTCTTGGACAAATGCTCTTAATTGCAGAATCAGAGGGAGAGGCTGGGGAATTGTTAAGAAACTCATGATTCATAGAAAGTATTTTCACTTTCTCCAGGATATGAGGAGAGAAAGTAGCAGAATTTAAATGGTATGAATAATATTGGACTACATAGTGTGGAAAAAAAAGCTTTAGCTTCATCTCATTCTGGTTTGAAAAAAAAATAAAACAAGAAAGCTCTGAGAACCTGAGGAGGAGTGCACACAGGTGCCTTATCTAATGGGTGTTGGTTCTCTGCTCTGCTGTGTTGGACACATATATTGGACAACATAATGTGAAAACAGAAACACCAGCTTCATCTCATGCTTGCTTAAAAAAAAAAGCATAAAACAAGAAAGCTTCCCAGAACCTCCGAAGGAGGGCACACCGCTTCATCTCATGCTTGCTTAAAAAAAAAAAGCATAAAACAAGAAAGCTTCCCAGAACCTCCGAAGGAGGGCACACAGGCGGTTCCTGTAATGAGCGTTGGTTGTCTGCGCCACTGTGCATGACTTCTAGATATTCTGTGTATAACATTATTATTGCAGCCTGTGGGCTTACATTTCTGCTTATGTTCCTGTTCCTGCAGGATGACTGTCCATGAAACAAGCCCATTTCTACTCTTATTTGCGTCTACCTAATGCTAAAGCTCCAGGCTGTTTCATAGTTCTGTGTATGGTTTCTGGCCATCCCAGGCCTGCATTGACAAACCAACGGCTTACAGAATGTCCGTGGTATCTAAAGGGAAGAGGGAAAATATTTATTTATTATTTTGCTTCTCATACTGGCGCATGTCAAAAGTAGCTTTGTAAGTGATGCTGGGTTTTATAGTATGGTTTGTTTCTTACCCCTCCAAAAAAAAAAAAGGTAGTCCAAACAAAAAAGCTGGAGAAAAGTATGGGGTTTTTTGTTTGGTGGTTGTGGGCTTTGTTTTTTTGCAAAGGATTGCATTCATGCTTTATTCATATGTCTATAGCTACATTTTAGAAAGAAGAAAACTTGCCTTCTGATTTTCTGGCTCTCATGTACTTCTGGCATATCAGATCAAACGGAGTTCTGGGCCATCTTTTTGTTTATGCACACAATTTATCTATATAAAAAACTGCTCTTCAGTCATTTTGTCCTAGGAGCTCTGCTTGTAATGCTGGTGGAGGCTAAACAGCAAATGTACCTTAGAACAATTCTGTTTAACCATAGTTTCTGGAAAAAAAAAATGCAGGATTGCTTTCATCCCATTCTTAGAGCTTCATTGTTTAGTCTGTGTCCACTTGGCAGTGATGCTTATTGTTGGTAGCGAGAAATTCTTCTAGTGCAAACAAAAGACTCCACAGAAAAGCTCAGCCCTCTAAGGCTGTGTTTTTCTTTATTGGAAACTAGTGAACCCCATGCCGTTTGAATAGGCTGCTTTAAATATCTGAGCTAGTTCAGCATTGGCTTAGCTAAGCTGATTTTAACCCACAGTTTGAAATGGAGAAAGCCACCAAGGCTACTGTTTATGACAAGAACGTGTTCAGGCAGAACTGCTCATACTGTAAATTGTGACAATACTGTTACTTTGGATGCTAAAATGAGCAAGTGGAAGCCAGGCTTTACAAGTTTGGAGTGATTTGTGTTTTGGTACCTGGGGTTATGTTGGAACATTTCTGCTTTAAGGCCTCAGAGATGTGAAATAACTTATGAAACTCTTAGGATTTAAGGGTATGCACCAGTGGATTAAAGCAGTTTAAATCTGTCTTTAGATATAAGTACTTGTGCTGCCTTAATCCACTGATACAGAGATTTTGAAAATCAAACTAAAATAAAATCTTCAGTTCTGGACTCTGAAGCGTTGGTATCAATTGGTTTAATACACTTTCTTCTTCAATGGAAAGCCTCCTGACAGTGCTGTTTGTTCTAGGTCTGTGGTGCTTATCTGTCAACTGACTGGAGCGAGCGCAGGCGAGGAGGGAACAAGCTGAGTTTCTTTGGAACTGGGGAGTGCTTTGTATTTAGGGTGAGTAAAATTTTATTGTCGCTACCCAGTAGCAAGGCAGAACTGCTGTACTGGTGTGAGTAACTCTTACTTCCCTTCCACTTGAAGAGGCTGGACTATATGCCCTCCTAGTTTATAAAGTCTACTGAACTCTTACTGTGGAGGAGAAAACTTTACTTTTCAGTTTTGTGGTAACCCTTTTTCTCCCCTTGCACAGAATAATTTTTTTAAAAGATGTAATAAGGTAACTCAGAAAACACTGCATCATTTCTTCAATCACCTAAAAAGCAAAGGTATAAAGAAAGAAAATAACAGCTGGCCTAAAAGGCAGTTTGATCCAATCTTCACCGCTAATCGTGCGGGTGGAGTCTGAGGGGCTTGAATGTTCTTTGCTGTGCAGAGCTCTCTGCGTAGTGCATCTGCAGTAACTAAAGCTTTGCTCTTCTCTGCCCCTATGCAGCTGCAGCCAGAAGTGGAACGCTATGAGTGGGTGATCATAAAACACCCAGAACTGGCCACAACTGGTTCAGAGCCAGAAAATCATGCCTCACCAGCTTCCAGCACCCTCTCTTCCGGCAGTGTCCCATCAGACCCCTCGGATCGCCTTTCTCCCTTCTTATCGGCTCGGCACTTCAACCTGCCTTCCAAAACAGCCTCCATGTTCATGGCTGGCAGCAGCGAATGCATCATTATAGGTAAGTCAGTGTGAGAATTTGAGCATAGATCCTACCAGCTCTTCCTATCCACCTTAGATAAGAGAGTCACCTATATTTACCATATATGTATTTCAGTATCGCTACAGTTAGAGATAAAAGTGGTCAAAACCTGATATTATTACCCAACAAAAATTTTCTGTAGAAAAACTTGCATATCAAGCATTTTAGAGTAAGATAGTAACTCATAGCTTTAAGCACAGCCATACCTTCATACTGCCTAATTCATGATGAGAAATAGTTCTTGAAGAGGAACTTACTTTGCACTGAGGCTTTTGAAACATGGGGTAAACTATAAAACCTGTTCATTCTCTTGGAACTTTATTGGATCTGTGGTGCTGCTGACTTTGGCAAACGCCTGCTTAGTAAAGTTGTCACCTAAAGGGGGATTTACAAGGAACAGGTATAAAATTGTGGTTGTCCTTTTCCCAAAAAGCTTTACCTGACACTTGTTAGGAGAGCAACTAGCCTGGTGATTTCCTCTGTAACATCAAGCGTTGGCTGTTTTCCCACTTAGCAGCATGTGCTCTAATCGACCGTAAGTTGGGCTGCTCCAGTATCAGCTAGGCTGGTGAGAGCTTCAGCGCGTGTGTAACTGAATTAGAAATCACTGTTAATGATGTACCACAAATATTTCAGAGACCTTTACTGTTGAGCATATATCCCACCAGCTCTTCCTATCAGCCTTAGATAAGAGAGTCACTTATTATATTTACCATGTATTACACTATGGGTAGTAATAAGAGAAATACAAGCTTGGGTAGCAGATATATAGAAATGAATGTTGTACACAATTCCAGCTGTAGACCAGAATTTCCACCCTTTTGATTCTTCAGATGTTTTCGGTAGCTATTCTTAGACAGTTGCCCTGTAAGCAATAGGGGAATCTTCCTTTTTGTTTTCCTAACATTTCTGTCTCACTTCACTGCATTCTCTGACTGTAAGCTCTGTGAATCGTGACATAGACCCACAGAGAATCAAAATGCTTTTAACTCTGACGTGTTTTATAATGATTTAGAAGAACAAGCCAGTGCTGTTACTTATTGATCTTGTTCTTCTCTCAGCTTTGATTTTTGACTGCTAATAGAATGCTTTGTTTTTTCTTTACTGGAGGGAAAATATGCAGTTGGTAGCTTCCAAGATTCTCCAGCACTGAAAAACAAATCTTAAATGCTGGCATTTGAGTCAGGCTTCTTGTTCTTACTGATTTGCTGTACTGTTTTTTTTTAATTAAAAAAAAAAAATCATCCAGTTCTGATAGTGTCATTTAAAAGCTATGCACTTGATCATACTCTGTTACACCTGAAGACAGCAAGCAAACATCACTTAGGGCTTCCAGTTGTTCCCATGAGAAAAGTATTTGTCCTTTTTTTTCTTTTTTTTCTTCTTTTTTTCCTTTTTCTTTCTTTTCTTTTTTTTTTTTTCTTAAATAGCAGTTTCCCATGCTAAGAAATGCAGAGACACCCTTACACTTGTCCTTGTCTCTTCACAGGAGGTGGTGATGGCCAGGCTCTTTACCTCGATGCAGATCTGAACCACGGAAGAACCAGCCACTGCAATACTTTCAATAATCAGCCTTTGTGCTCTGAAAGCTTCCAGATCTCTGTCTTGGAGGTGTGGGGCTTCAGAGACACCATGAATGGTTGATGTGACTATCATTAATCGACCGGTCAATTGTCCTAGGATTCCCAAGGCAAATTCTAATGCAGGAGCCAAGTTAGAACATAATTTCTGCTGGCCTCAGTGTTTTTTAGTATTTACTAAGTGGTGCACTTGAATGCAGGGCTTAGTTGTTTACTCTTATTTTAGTTAAGACACGTCAAAGTGAAGTAATGTATCTGATTAACTCCTTAGCTCTTTACCTCTGGAGACCTAGATTCAGGTCCTGTTATTAGGTAAAAATGAAAATGTAATGGATTTCAAACCATCCTAAGTGGATACAAGTCCACATCACAGGATAGGTTTGCAGTTTGATGCAGTTCCTCAGAGGCACAGAGCTGGCTGAGGTACACTGTAGAGCTGTGTGCCACTGGCACCAGTATCTGGCTTGAGCCAGTAATATCAAATGTCTGCTCACAGGGAACATTGATGACCTCAGATTTGACGTAGAACAGTAGTTCATAAAATCATTGCCCTACTATAAGTAGACGTTGTGCAGACAAATCATGAGTAATTATCAGTACTATTTCGTAAGTTATGAAAGCCCTCAATTAACACAAGAACCATGATTGCTAATTATCCTTCTCCTTGTACCTGAACCCTTGACACATTCCAGTTGCATCTGTTTGAGGAGTCTGCCTCTGAGGAAGGCATCCAGACTGGACAACGATATCTCAAAGGCTTGATTTTGTTTACATTCCTATTCCATATCAGTATAATGACTTCAAACTGACTCACGTTTCGGGCAGCTGAAAGCCAGAGCATATATGCAAGTGCTCAGAAACTTCCCTTTCTTCATCTTTCCTGGAAGCTGAAATGGAGCTTTAAATCTGAGAATAACTGTGCTGATATCCCTACGTGTTGAGGGAATTAGACATTGTGATACAGAAGCGTATTGCTCTCCCCACAGGTAAATGAAGGGAGGTGGGAGGGAAATCTTCTATGTAATACTATTCTGGGAGTGGACGAGTTTCCCAGGAGAACTCCAGGCGACACCGTTTCTCCATATCATGAGTATCCCAGTAATGAGATCCTGAAAAAGGAAGGTAACGCTTTTTTGCCAGCAGTGTTCTGGTAGGGTTTGGGTGATGCAAAGAGGCTTTGCTCATTCCTGAGAATTCATACAGTTCTCTGCAAGCATGCCTTGCGGCATGTGATGTCTGGAGGCAATTGCCGAGTGTCTTTATCTAAACCTGCTATAGAACTTCTCCCACATGAAGCACAAGTACATAAACATCAATGGATAGTCCAGAGCATACGACAGGATGCTCTCAAAGCTTCAGTGGGTAATTTGCTAGTACGAAGATTTACCACAACAAGTAAAATGAGGGGAAAGAGGAATTGCTGGTTTTTTCAACAGTTCAATCTAAAAAATTGCTTTAGAATGGGGGAAATGTTATTATTACTTAAACTTGAAGTTCATCAAAAGGAAAAATTAAAAATTTATAGTAATAAAATCTCAGCTAGGCTGGACAGGGTCATGTTAATATTCAGAGATCACAGATGAGTCTTGTTGGTAACGTTGGCTTGTTTAGCTTCACGTCAATGTAAATACCATGTGTCTTGGTAAAGTGTTGCCTCTTGCAAAGTACATGAGCAAACTTGGCAAAAATGTGATTTGCTTCTTAAGGTGCCATTTTGAATTTTTGTCAAAATAACTTTGAAATATTAGACTGCGTATACAACAGTTTAAGATCTCTTTTGCACCATTTATATTTGGAATTAGATTATTTCACCCTGTTTGAGAGTCAGCACTGGGCCTCTCTTTCTTTCCCACTTCCCACTTGGTGAGTTCTGTCCAGCTGTCTTCTCATAGGTTTACCATAAGTTTGATTGAACTAGAAGGGAAGGTCTAATTCAGTTATACTTACGTATTTTGATGAAGAGGAACTTTAACAGTCATATCTGGCTTTTTACAACTACTGGCTGATGCTGCCTTCTATTATTTTTTCAAAGCTAGCTGTATCACTTTGCACTTGCTAGTATCCCACAAGCTTCCTCAGACAAAACAAATCACTCAAAAAAAAAAAGTATCCCATTTAGTAGGTTCTCTTAAGTGTGGGTGGGATTTCAGTTTTGTCCCTATCTCCTCTCTTTCAAGCTTGTTTGAGGTGCCCTTGGAAAACAAAAAAACCAACAAAACACAATAGCATTAATTTTCAGCTTGTTAACTTGTCAGAAATTCCCTCGAGCTGTGTGTTGGCAGAATTTGTGGGACTTTAGTATTACACTCAAAATCAATAGGTTTTATCTGCAAAATCTTTCCTGCAGCTGGCAGTGGTGATGTGATTTTCTCACTCCCCATCCCTGCTGGATGCAACTATGTCAGCGAAACCTGAGTACTATACCGTGTCTTAAGCCATATCCAAGAAACACTGTTCCTTTCCCTGCTCTGTTCTTAATGCACAGGGATTTGGGTGTTTGAAATCAGAAATGACTCATAGTTGCTCAGAAATTCATCACAGGATATTAGTGTAAGAATCCAAGGAGCAGTACTGAAAATCAGTGAGGTTTAGGCATCTGAGTCTCGAGTGTCTTTTCAAAAGTCAATCGCAGGCCTCAGCTCAGCTTCCTTTGTGTCAGATGAGTACAACTTCTGACCCCCCGGCAGCGAAGGTCCACAAGAGACCGCTTTTTGGTAGCTTATCGAGATGGCCAGCCAGTCTTTCACGTGGGACTGAAGGTAAATGTTCATTCTTAACGTAAGACATGGTGCTGGGTGGCTGGCAGTGTCTAACAGCTGCTCTACGTCTATGCATTTGCAACTGGCGTGGGTGTGCTTGCAGCACACACGGCGCCCAGAGCAATTTGAGCAATGACCTGTACGAGTTTGCACATCACAGCAGGGGATAAAAGGGTTAACAGGTGGTCCTCCTTCTGCTGGCTATTCGTATTCATATCAATCTTGAGGCACACGTTGCAGGGATGGTTTTGGTTTGGTACAGCACTACCCTGCTGCAGAGATCCTGCAGGTCTGGTATGTATGTTTTAAATTTGAATAGCCTGAATAAGCAAGAGGCTGCAATAATCTAGCAAGAGGAATTACACAGTGCTGTGTCATCTTCACACGACCCTTTTGTTCAGTAAAAATTAATGTTCCTCTTCACGTGTAAATCATCATGTGTAATTCTCGTTAGGTTGTGAGACACCTTAGCATTGTGACTTGGTCTTCTTTCCAGTAGGGAAGAGGCATTTTTTTGTCTGGGTAGTTAATGGTGGTTGCTGACCAAGTGTATATCAAAGTTCAGGTAATTAAGCCAACGGTTTGTGTTACATGCAAAACTCTTGAGGTGGAGGCCACGGACTGGTTTTTGAGACAATGACTACAATGGGCGCCTTATCAGAAAGTTAAAATTATCTGAAGTACCCCAGCTGTAATAACTCTGAACAACTGTTGGTGTAGTTTGTGGTCCTGCTGGCAGCAATGGCAGCGAGGGTGCCAGTGTCGCTTGATGAGCTGTTCGGTGTGGAGCTGGAGAGCTGAAGGCTGGGCGTCAGCTACCACAGTTCTTCAGGAGCATATTTGCTTTCCTGAGAAGCCATTTTTGCTTTGTAATATTCTCTTGAAGGCAGAAAAGGCTAGAAACTCCTGACATCAGAAACCTGAATTTATTGTAAATGGCATCTAAGCTGTTTCCAGGCCACAGGAACTGTTTCCAGCTGTTAGCCAGGCTGGACAGACTTCATCGCTGGACCCGAAGCTGTCATTCCTACAGATCATGCACTTTGACACGCTCCCTTTTCTGATGAAGCACATTAATCGGCCTCCTGTTAACGGAGGCCAGTTAACAAAGGGAAGGGAAAAACTCCCATTTCCTCTGTGCTGCGGTAAGTGAAGACAAACTGGGGGGGCGGGCAGTACTGTTCTTTAAAGAGTTAAACTTCATGCCAATAGAGATCTGTGTTTAGCCACGGAGGGGTGGCACTTGCAGATCTGTCAACTGCTGTTCGTGTGTGTGCATTGAAATTGTGTGCTTTGTCCTTGGAAATCCGTCCTCGATCGTGGTGGGGAGTGAGCTCCGCTGCCCACTGACCGCACAGTGGCCATAGCGACGTGGACACCACGGCCAGTGGGGACTAAGAGCTCACCTGCAGCCATGGCGCTGGAAGAGCTCGGCTCCTGCGACTGACACCCGGAGTCCGATTGTTGGACAGATCGGAGGCTTGGGCACCCAACTGTTAACATTGAGATGCCTTTCTGCCAGCTCTCTGTCGTGAATTTCAGACTATTCATAGTTGAGATGAGTGTGCATATTATTTGGGGTGATGATTTTCTTCAGATGAGTGGTGGTGTGCTGCCGGTGTGAATTGGTTTTCTACCCTATCATTGGAATTGCTGCCCTACACTGATGGTATTTTTGTCACTGTGCAGAATCTTGGATTGTATTAAAAGGTGTTTGACTGTGGAGGCAACTTGACTTTGTCCTTCATTCAGTTATTTTCCTTCCTGTAGACCTCATAGCAAATGGCATGCTGAAGCTGAGAAATAAACCCTGGAGCATGTGTTCTCTCACATGAACTCTTCACCACAATGAAGCGATCACACGGTTCCTGACTATTTTAGGAGATCTCTCAAGGCTTTCACCGAGATCAGGTGCCAAACTGACTGTAAAAAACCTTAGATTGGCAAATTCTGAAATGAGCCTTCTTCCCTTTGGCGGGGCCAGAGACCGTGTTTTGGCCCAGCCCAACCTGGGTTTAAAATGGAGCTTGGAGTGTCTTCCAGCCACCAACACTTGTAGATCAGACCAACGGTGCCGTTGCATCCTCTGCATGTAAATGCCGACATCGACTCAGCTACAGTCCTGCAGCCGCTGTAAGTCAGCACTGCTCTTGCTAGAGGCTGCGCCTTCCTTGTGCCAGCACAAACGTGACTGTTGGCAGCAGGCAGGCAGCTCGGTCGGGGAGCGGCTGCTTTAAAACTAGTATTTTTGTTCCTCTTGATGGCTTGGGTTTAACCTGGATCTCTTCCCTGCCCGTGTCCCTGATAACGGCGCAGATGTGTTTTGCCATGGTTGAAAGGAGTGTTTCTAGTTAGCAGCACTGGTTTAAACAAATGTTCCTGTTACTTAAACCTAGTCTTTGCCAGAGCCTGCAACTTAAATGTAAGACTTGTGGGAACTACAGGAACTTACTGGTATAGTTGGAGGATATCAAGATCCTCTGTGCAAAATGCCTTTGGAAACTCCCCGCAGGCAATGACCAATGAAGTAAAAAAAGCTGTTTGAGTTTCCAGTGAAATTCCACTAAATTCTTGCGGCTTGAGTGAAACTCCTGGCAGGCAGGAGGGGAAAAGAAAACACAAAAACCACAACATATACGCCTCATACACAACATGGGGGCCTCCTGTGCTGCTGTACACGGGTGTTTCCGAGAGCAAAGCTGTGGTCTAAGGCGATGCAATGTGGAAAAGAGGGATTGCTGAGCTTGCAGAAACAATTCACAGATTATTTTCATGCCAGCTCTCCGCACTGCGATGATGAGGGTTTGCTGCAAAGAAAGCCTGTGGCCACTAGAGGTTACCCTTTGCCTGGTCATCAGCTTCTTTCTCCCTCCATTACAAATAAATCCACTCTTGCAAGCCAAAAGTCCCAGAATTTAGTAAACGTTATCAGGCTGAGTACTTTTTTAAAAGAGATGAGAGTAGGGAAAAGGTGTATGCATAGGCTTTCTCCATCTGATTTCCAAAAGTGAACTTGGCATTAAATACCGTAAATCACAATTTTACAACTCCCTTAAAGACCTTAAACTTACTAACAAAGGTGCTCAGTAGCAGGAAAATGTAACTGAGGGACCTTGAGGAGCTGAGCAATGCAGGCTGCTGGTTTTGAACCTTACAGCTACTTTAAGCCATGTGACTGAGGACCTGAAAGGAAAATGGTATGCTTGATTGCATCAAGTAGTAGGAGCTCTTTATCACGCCCGGAGGGCTTGATGATGGGAAAGTTATGGGTGATGTCTCACGGGGCTGGTAGTTCATAATGAAGCTGGAGGAGCCTTAACTCCTGGAAAAGGAAGGCTGTCCTCTGTCTTGCCGTGGTGCTGCAGTATGAGAAGAGTGTGATGCTTGCTAGTTGTGCCTTTTTTTCTGGATTTTCTATACACAGTCTTTTCTGTAAATGTGACACGGATACCTGCTTCCTTGGGAGATGTTTTGTAACCAGCTGATGGCACAAGACTGCTTGTGGCAGCAAACTTAAAAGTTTCCCTGCCTTTTAAAGTACCCCATTGGGTGTCTCCAGACCCGCCTTGCTATCACTCTCCCCAAGCACCGCTTTGGGTTGCAGAGCCCCTGCATGAGCAGCTGGGAGGGTTGTGGCTTGACCCGTTGGCTGTGCTCTGGTGTCGTAGATTGCTTCTGACTCTTGTTTTCAAATCGCATAAATGGCTGCTCAGTGGAACTGGATCCAGACTTTAGCTGGGCGATATTTGAGAGTGTTCAGCTCCTGTTTTGCTAACCCGGTGCTGGCTTCTCTTGTGCAAATGTAGATAAGGCGCTAGGACTGTCTATGCTGTCGCTGCAGCTGGATACACACCTCCCCGTTGCTGACACAGCTTCAGTTCATTGCTTGCATGGTGAGTCACCTCCCTTTTTGTGGTTAAGTTGTCCTCCAAAGTTAAGGGCTGTGCCCTCCATCTGCCATTGACTGGCAGGGTTTCTGACTAGACTTGTCATCCTCCTGATCTCTTGCAGCCGCAAGGCGAAGGAGGCAGCTTTGGAAACCCATAGGGAAGAGTGCAAGTCCAGTGAGCCAGTGATCAGTGCCTCGTCCTCCCAGCCTACGTGATGCTGGATCCTCCGTGCCATAGACAACTGGGAGTCCACGTTTTTGACCTGCGAGCATTGCAGACGGAGCAGCGCCAGCGTTGGCTCTACCAGCTCAGCAGGGCCAGCTGGCTGCAACCAGCACTCTCCTGCTTGCAGTGGCTGGGGCGCAGTCTATTTCTCTTCCTCAAATGTTCCTCTTCGTGCTGCAAAATCCTGCTTTCTTAAAGGCCTCTGGGTTGATGTGAAGACCCACTTTTGCCCCCTCGCACTGTGAAGCGCACTGCTGTGCTGCAGGGATTGCCTCAGGCAGCCAGTCCCTTTCAAGAACCGTTGCACGTGGGCCTCTGCATCGCTTACCTTCTGCAGGGGTCTGAGCATGCTGTGCTCATCTTGTTGAGGCTCTGACTTCAAGCCCAACAAAGACCACAACTGGAGCGTGGTTGGTTGCTCACTACAAATCCCGCAGAGCAACAACTTGTCCAGTTTTGTTCAAGGGAGGTTTAGGACTGAAACTTCAAGAGCTGTCACTGTTTGCTGAGCTGGGTAGAGGTGTACATCCAGGCTGGTATTTTGTCCCTTGACCTGTTGCATGCTGAACCATATATGTTTGACGGAGATGGCCCTTGGCAGCGAGAGGGCAGCTTCCGCCTGCTCAAGCAGCACAAGGCCAGTGGCTATGGGGGTCTCGCTGAGCTGCGGTGCCCTGCAGCCAGCTGGCGGTTGAGCTGGCAGGATAAGTACACCTGCATCAGTCCTTTCTATCATCTCGGCACCCACAGAAGCTTTGCCACACGCCAGCTGTGTCTCCGCAAGCGATGCAGCACGCTACAGCCACCCGCTCCCCTCACTTGGAGGACAGTATGTAGAATAACCCTTGGGGACGGTGGAATGGGGAAGTCCAGGCTTCCTCGCTGCCTCCACAGCCAAAGTGCTGCAGGAACTTCCTCGTGGCCACACTCACACAAATTTAGTGGGGGAAAGAGGCAGAAAAGTCTCAGAGATGCTGAGTTTCTCCAGGTTTGGCTGCCTGTTTCACAGAACCAGGAAGCAAGCCTCTATTACTGCCTCCCAGAGGGAAGGGCTGCGGCATGGGCGTAACCCTTGTTGGAGAGTAGAGTCCCCCCCAGTTACCCACCTTTGAGACAAAGCCAGAGGAAAACTGACTTCAGCAGTTCCACAGCTCACAGAAATACTTGTTGACATCCTTCCTCTAAGGATCTGCCTAATTTTTACCGATTGTCATAACCTCTATGCCTAAGTTCATTATGCTTTCTCCTACGCTACAGGACATCAGCCACAGCTCCTACGTAGCAGTGTGGTCTTGCGCTCCTTTGGGGCAGATAAAGGCAAAGCATTTCTCAAAGTCACAGCTTCACTTGCAGCCATGCCATGGGTTGTGCACCTGGGTTTGTTCCCCGCTCGTGAACTGTTAACTCTGGAGGGAGCAGTTTAGCTTCAAGGACTGCAGGGCTCTACTCAACCGTAACTCTCAGATTTTCTGAGGGTGTGGGTCTTCTTGGGACAGCTTCCTTCCCTAATGAGCAATAACATAATCATGTACAGATTTTTGAAATTGCAGAAGTGGAAACCACAGGGGGAATAACTGACCCCTTTTCCTCAGCAGAGGAAATTTGATTAATGTGTTCGACACAGCCTTGGGGGTGGAGGTAGGTGCAAGCGTAGAGGTTCCCAAGGAAGAGTCAAAGCACCTCTCTTTCTAGGATGGCTGCCTACCTTGCGCTTAACCCTCTGACAGTTTTGGAGCTGCTTCCAGCTCGAATTGGCATCTTGAAGAGAATTTCTAGCCTGCATTTGGGAGGGGAGATGTGCTTCTTCTTTGGCTGGTGGGAGCAGAGGTTCACTCGAGCCCCTTCCCTGGGCCAGAGCAACCTCCAGCTGGTGCCTGCCCCGACGCACGGGTAGCCCTAAAGAGCTGTTTGCAAAGAAGAGGGTCCAGGGCAGCCCAAAAGAAAAAGGAAGGGCAGGCTATTGGCCCGTAAACCAGCATAAACAAGCCTCAAGTAGAAGCCTTTGGCCTGAATTGTGTCTTATGACCTCTGCCGTGATCCGTGTCTTGCGCAGCCAGAACCTACTTGCAAGGGCTGGATCTGTGTTTCCTTGTACACACGACAAGGGTACGCTGTCACGACCATCCGTACTAGGCAGTTCCTGCCCTGCCTTTACGCTGGTTTTTTTGAGGCAAAGGATGTTTTTAAGGCCTTAATGTTTAATCTGCACCCTACTAACCAGAAGAACTTGCAGAGGTTAAATGAGACTGGGAGATGGCTGCACAAGGTCCTCTTCCTTTCCAGGGTCCGTGTGCCTCCAGCCTGGGAGGTTTTCAGAATCTCAGGGATGTGAAATCCAGCCACTTGCTGGGGCTGGTGAAAGACACATGATGAACAACCACCTCCAGGGCAAAGGAGTTGTGCTGCAAGCACAGGAAAGAGGGAGAATTAGAAAGCTTTGAATTTCTGGGCAGTGTTTTTGCAGAAACACGCCACTCTTGGCAAAGCAGGAGCAGACATGTTCGGCAGCAAGCCCTCCGTGGCCCTGGGCGCTGCCGCAGCAATGACTTTCCCCCCGGTCGCACCAAGGCCATGGGACCAGCTCTGTCCCTCCTGTCCTCAGGCATGGGCTCA